AGATCGACATCTAACATTTATTTCCGCCATGGCTCTAATGAAACACCCATCCTTTATTCCTTTATTAGGGGCCTCCATGTCAATCACTTCTCCAAATTTATTCCATTCTTCCTAACATCTTTATAGCTCATACATTCAAGGGGTAGTTGATCCCCAAATTCGGATTTAGAAGAGGTTGTACTACAACCTCTTTGATAAGCCAATGCACCCTCTTTCCACTCTGTAAGAGTTTCCCTTCATAACTTTATCTTTGTCATTTACATGGTTGGAGAGACTCGAAAATTTTATCAAGTATATTTATAACTCCGAATCCCTTTGACTTGCTCCCAATCTAATAATTGGTATTTTTCAACCAAAATAAGTTAAATATCCTTAATCACCTTGCCTATAAAGTTGCACACTCCTTTCTACTTTCAAATATGACATTGATCAAATCAATTTCTTGCTTTATAATAGGAGTTAACACTATCCTTCTAAGATGGTGTTTGCAATCCTTTTGCAAAATCAAAATTGGAGTTTAAAACAAAAAGTGGATAGAAGGGAATTAAAAACAAAAGTTGGGTATATTTGTAAAAAAATGCTAAAAAGTGGAGAAAAGTAGTAAAGTAGGCATTTGAGATGCAACTTGTATAATTTATTGATGCAGATGCTTTTGCTTAGAATAGACTAATGTCCTCTACATGTTTGTTTGTTAATATCTCCACTATTTCTTGCATTGCCCTAGTGGCACAAGGTTGTTCCAATGCTAACAGTGGTATTAGAGCAAGGATCCGCTTACTGACTCATGAATAAATGATTAGACTTATTTGCATGTGAAATTTGATTCTGTGATTGGAAATCATATTGCCTAAAGTCAACTATAATTTGGTTTGGCTGAGCAAAAGGAGTTTTGCACCAAAAATAGGTTGGGCAAAAATGCATCGACCGGTGGCTTGATGGGCATGCAAGTTACTCACGGCGTTGCCTAAACTGGGGCCAATGCATGTTGACATCGTGGTGCATACACTGGATGGCCCAGAAGAGCCACTGTTGTTTCTACTTTGTTTGGCCCTCTTTTTTGGATAACCACTGCCAACTAGCTTTAATACAATTTTTCGATGGTGGTTACCAGTGGAATGGACACCATGGCAATGGAAGGTTGATGATGCCAAAATAAGCATCAATTGGTGGAATCCAACATCAGCATGCAATGGCAAAGCAAAAAGGGTTTTTTTTTTTTTTTTTTTTAGATTCTTGCAATACACCAGCAATTAGTCATGCTACTTAACTCAACGGGGCTACCCAATCATTAGACAACATCGTGTGTCAAGTGAGTGAGCCTATTGATCCAATTTTTGTTGTCGATTGCTTACCTATTGCCTGTCGTCCATTGCAATGGTTCCTATTAAAAATAGACTGTGGATAGAGGGATCATTTGTGACGATTGGTAGTGACAAGGTTGACGATAATAGTCAAGAGGCGACAATGGCTGGTTGGCATCCTTGGTCAAATTTGGTGATGGCATACTAGAGTTTTTTTCTTCAAGTAAAGGTAATTTTAAATTTTGAGAGTAAAAATATCCAAAACTGTTTTTATTTAACTATAATTATACTACTCATAGTAGAAGCATTCCTCACCTTATTTTTACAATCAATTTCTAATTATATTTTTATTTATTTAAATGAAGAGAGATAAAAATTATAAACATATTTTCAAATCTGTCAAACTTACTTCTAAATTTTAGAAAGTACAAAATTACTTTTTGTAAATTGTTCCAAACACATCTTTTGAGTCTACAAGAAATAGCTTCCCACGTATGATCTTCATTTGTTTGCTCTCTTTTGCAATGCTTCATTTATCAAGGTTACTGACACCTTCTAAATCAGTAATTACACCTATGTGAAACGGAGAAAATAACTTTAGACAGCGCACAGGAAAGCAAGAGGGAACTCTAGCTACCAAGAGAAAGAGATGCAACAAGCTAGCCAACTCAGTACTTCTCTCCTACATTAAGTTTTGAATTGAACCGAGATCAAACATTTCCTAATTTACAGATATTGATTATAAAGAATACAAACATTACTTTTTTCCTCCTTTTTCCTTATCTTTGATAGTATATTTGCCTAGTTAAAATATTAAAAAATGTAACTGCCATTAAAAATTACAAGATATGACAAAATATGTATGCTTTTTTTATTTTTACTAGAAAGGAAGATTAAAATTATTTAACATGTGCTACAACATAAATATAAATTATTTTCCTCCTGAAAAAATTAGCAAATTCTTTTATTTAGTTACTCACTTGAATGGTGGGATTATTTTAATTTCCTAAAATATGAATTAAATTTTAAAAAATTTAAAGACTATTTTATTTAATAAAAATAGTATAAGTAGTAAAATATTCTTATATTTATAAAAAATTATGATTAAATATGTAAAAAAAATACTTTTTGATAAGAAAATCATGATATTTTGGATAAAACTAATCTAAAACAGTAAAAAAAACCCACTATAATGACTTAAAAAAATGTAAAAGCTATTTTAACAGTGTAATTATTGTCAGTAATAAAAAAGTATTTTTATTTTTCACAAAATAAATAATGAAAGTGTGTGGACCCCACACCATTGACAGTGACTAGTACGCATATCGTGTAAGTTAGCCTGTCCCATATAAGACAACCTCTGGTCCCTACGTGCGATGAAGGAGACAATTAAATATAAATTAATGTTACATTGATGCGTATGAAACCATACAGTTATTATTCGCAGTCCAACCACCAAAAAAAATATTTAACTTACAATGGGTATGTATAGATCTGGACTTTATTTTATTTTATTTTTACTTTATTAGCTCAAGTTGATGGACTTTAATATTATAATTATTTTATTAAGTGAAAAAAATTCAAGAGATATTAATTGTGGATAACTCTTAAAAAAATGCGTTGATTACATTTTTGTTTTGAAAAAATATATATTATATTTGTGTTACGAAACTACCATCACCTCTTAAAAAAATATACTTATAATTGATGTGCATCGCTAATATTATATTATATTTTTATTTGTTTTACCTTATTTAGTATAGAATTAATGCATTCTTACCATTTTACTTATCTCTTTTGGAAGCACTGGTTATAAGTTATATTATTATTTGACTAATTCTTTATAATTAAATATGATACTATCTATCACAAAATTATTATTATTTCTTAAAAAAATACATTTATTAAGGTGTGTAATAACATTATTTATATCATAATCTCTCTCATTTACTCTATTCCATATGAAATTCATAACACTTGATTAATTTTGGAGGTTTCACATTATCACACATGCAAAATTAGGTTCTCTTTTGTTTTAAATAAATTTTTTAAAAGTTTTTTTATTTAAAAAATCATATTATCTCAGCCAAATTTTGTTGGTCACATCTTAAATTTTATCACGGGATGATGTTTTAATATTTTACTTTGATATATTTTTTATAGCAGGAGTCTGTTTACTCTTAAATAAAATTTTCTTTATATCTATTATTATAAATTCAACAAATTCAAGGATGGAATTCTTATTTAACAATTTCAAAGAGGAAGAAATTATTTTGTTCATGAGAAACGAGACCTTAACTAAATTAAATGACTTGATTATTTACAAGTAAATACAATCCATTCAAAAAAAAGTAAATTAAGAAATAGCTACGGATCTTTCGTTACCCTATGAGCCCTTAATAAAAATTTGACTGGGGGAATGTTGGCCAAGAGAAAATATAATAATTTAATTCCTCTCTCTCTCTCTCTCTCTAATTTAATTGTCCAATTATCCGTCAGCAGTAGTTAATTTGGACAGCAACAGAAATTAGTTATTATTCAATACTATGACGATGGATGTGAACCCATTTTTTTCATGTCAGAAGACAAACTAAAGTTTTCATTCAATTGAGCAGACAACTGTTAAGAATTAAGATTGATTAGAACTTAGTGAGAAAATTCAGAGAAAAAGTTGCTCTCAGAGGACCAATTTACAAATATAATTTTATCTGGGTAATAATATCTGAAGGATTAATTTTGTAATTATCAGTACAAATAATAACCTTGACCAAATTAGAAAACAGTTTAATGATTTAATAATTGGAATTATTATTGAACTGCTTGCCTGTCGTTGCAGTATGTGTCAATTCAATCGAACAGATGCGAAGGTGTAGCGTGGATTTCACTAATTAAGAATTGATAATCGAGAAACCAACAGCATCCAATTCCCCTTTGGACTCCTTGCTGTCTAAAATTGGAGAGGGCGAGAGGATGCCTATCTGTTTTTCTCTCTCTTAAATGGCAGAAAAAACTCTAGAGAGAGAGAGGGGTGCTCGGGTTCCATTTGTCCGTTATTGATTTAGAGGCTGCCCTGTTTCTGAAACTACTTCTGCTTTGTGTGTAAGTGAGAGATAGAGAGCGAGAGAGTGCGTCAAAACCTGCAAAACGTACTTCAGTTTTTCTCTCTCTCCGAGTCTTCTTTTTTCTTTCGGAGTTCCACCCGCTTATTTATTCTCTTCTGAACAAATTGGTATTTGGTGTTCTGGGTTTTCTTGTTGTTTCAGTTGAGGTTTCTCTTAATCATCAAATCCTGTGGTTTTTGCATATTGGGATGGTTGAATTTTGAGCTGGAGTATGGGTATGGTAGGGGGTTCTGTGGCTGAGATTGGTTGGGTATCTCAACTGACCCCACTCGTGAATTTCGGCAACAGATATTAAGATTATTCTCCTCCATCTTAATTTTAAGCTTCCCCTAAATATAACGCTTCCTTGACCGCCTATTATCGTGTCACTTTATGCGTTTATTCAACCAGTTGATTGATCTTGTATGCATTTAGTATCATTTAAGTCCTCATCGATTTGGAGCTTCCAATTTTTGTGTGGATTCAATTTGGAGGGCTAGGTGTTTGGTGGTTTTTCATCAAGCTTTTTTTGCTGTTGGATTTGAGTTTAAGTTTGTGGAAGGTGGTGGAAAGAGTGGTGACAATTGTTTAAGTTTGTATGGCTAGTGAAGTGGAAATTGAAGATGAAACTGAGAACAGAGGAAGCATGTGGGCTTTGGATCAGAGGCTTGACCAGCCCATGGATGAGGAGGCTGGAAGACTCAGAAATATGTACAGAGAAAAGGTATGAAGCTTTCTACCCCTAATTCCTATTTAGTTAACTTTTCTTTTTATTTGCCTTCAAGAAAGGAGAAGAACTTTTCTTTCTGAGTTGAAAAATATTTTTCTGTATCTATTTTTTTTTTTTTAATTTGAAGGCTAGTATGCTTGGATTTCCAACTGACTAATCTTTGACCTTTTTCCACCTTGGATCCGCTGGATTGATTGTTTAGCGCATTACGTGTTCCAAGAATCGTTTTAAGTTGAACCCGTGAAGCCTGAAGGGGAGAGCGGAAATGTTTATGGAATTTGTCCAAATAACCGACCTTTTTGTTAAGCAATTTAAATATTAAAAATAATTAAACAAAGTGAAATTTTAAAAATTGAAGTGCTATTTGCAAGTGATTAGGTACAATGGGATGCTGATATTTGGCCTTTCCTTCAATTTTGCAAATTTTATTGTACCATACATCAACAAATTATAATATTCTTCTTTTTAAAGTTTACGGTTCTGTAACTGTTATTTGCAAATTTAGTTTCTGCTATGTGTAACTAGAAATGAGAAGATAGTGTTGCTGATAGAGATATGATGTTGTTCTATTTTTCTGATCCTCATTCTGAATCCTGCAGAAATTCTCAGTATCACTGCTTCTGAGATTTGCATTTCAGAGTCTTGGCGTGGTCTATGGGGACTTGGGAACATCTCCATTGTATGTGTTCTATAATACATTCCCTCATGGTATCGGTGATGATGAGGATATAATTGGAGCTCTTTCATTGATCATATATTCCCTTACTCTTATTCCTCTACTAAAGTATGTTTTCATAGTGTGCAAGGCAAATGACAACGGTCAAGGTAAGCTGGTCCCAATCTGTGAACTTTCTTTATTGAAGTACTGAGTGAAGATCTCTGGAATTAGAGGTGAATAATAAGTATTGTTTTCCCATAAACATGAAAATTACCAATATTTCTATAACTTTCCCATGAAAATTATTTAGTTTATTTTTGTTTATTTCAGAAATCCAATTAACTTGGAGTAGAATCTGGTTAGAAGTTATCCTTTCTTGCCTTCTAGAATGTTCATGCAAAATTTATGTCCTTCATTGTACCCCACTTATGGACATTGACGACGTATGCAGTGGGGGGAATGGCAGTGGGTTAAGGAACAGAAAGTGGGAGATTAGGCTCTTGTTGTCACTCTTTACAGAATATTTGAAAACATAAAATTTATGTTTACATTTGTTTAGAGAAAAAAGAAAAGAAAGAGAAAAAGAACATTACCACTCGTTATTCCCTTTCCCCTCCTACCCCACTTCCATTCTCCATCACTCAGCCCGAGCCATTGCACTATTTTAACCATGCATCCCCCTTAATTTAGCCCTTTAAACTATTAGTAAACCTTTTTATCACATTTGTTGGTCTTATTATTAGATGGACTCACTGCAACTTTCAGCCCTTTTAACTTCCGTAGCCATATTCACAGCTTATTTAAATCTTGGGTTTCAAACAATTACAATGCATATTCTTCATGTATGTCTTCTCTTATATAGTTGAATGGAATATCTTATCATCTGATTATTGGTACTTTCATGAGATGGAACTACATAGTTTAATCATTTAATATCACAGGGAAGAATAACTGATAGAGAATTAAATGGAGGTAGTGAGAAGTGTTTCAATGCCCATGCACTTTTGGAGGACTGGAAAAACCGTTACAAATCTAATTCTCTAGTGCATTAGCTTGTAGATTCCAGTTTTAGAGTCATTTGGTAATGGGTCATGAGTGTCTCTCTGAATAAAATGCTTATAGGAGGGAAAAATGTCATGTTGCTATGAATTTAAATTAATCATTAGAATTTTTCCCAGGCAATGGGCACAAGCTACTTATAAGTAGTGCCAAGTGAGACTTTATTTCATAAATCAATTGGAAAATTAAATTTTAATTTCCAGTAATAAGCATCAACCTCGCATCTGTGATAACAATCAGCTGAACCAAGCAACATTATATGCCTGAAATCTATCTGATCATGCTTAATTTATGGAGAATTGTTTGCAAAATATGAACATGGATCACAGGCACAAGACCTATAGACATGCCAAAATATTATTTTCTAATGTAAAGGTAGAACATATATGACACATGATTATAAGTATGTATACAATATTAAATAAGTGTACAATATATGAATGCATTTATGGACAGAAAAGGGGGAAATTTATGCATAGCATTGGAAGCCTTAAGCTATTTTAAACAAATTGGAAGTCATAATTATTTAGGGTCTCATGCTAAAATTCCTACAAAGGGGATTTATGTGTTTAAAATCCATTAATGAAGTCAGCCATTGTTATTTTCTCAATCAAACTGTAATTTTTTATATTTCAGTTGCTTCCAGCTTATGAGAAGACCCTCGATATCTGTTTTGCATGTCCAAATGGTAGTGATGCATGATGTGAATGTGACCGAAACTTTCATTTTTGAAAAATTAGAAGAATAATAAACCACATTTTAATGTACATCTGATCTTGTTTGCCTAACAAAGGTAACTGGATTGCAAATGTAGTCTCTTTCCCATTTTTGGTTTGCATTGAGGGGAGATTGCTAGTATGGGGAACTAGGAGTCTTTCATTTGGTAGAAGGAACAAAAGGAACAGTTAAAAGTTTGAGGGATGAGGGATAACTTTTGTGGCACCCTCCCTCATGGGACGTTCTATCCTCATGGAGGATTAGATTTTATCCTTTGAATTTTCATCTGACAGCTAACAATATTAGTCCAACTTTCCAGATTTCCCTCTAATTAATCATCTGACTAAATGAATTACAAATACACCAACAATTGTACCTTATCCTGTCCATTGGGTCCACGATTTTATCTCAATATATTCAATCCCATCACTGATTATCCAATACAGGTAATCATAATTGCAGTTTATTTTGGAACACACACTAAATATGACAAGCATTTGTGCTTCCTTGGTCAATACACTAGAAAACATCTTCTCTTGATTGTGTCATTTATATACTAGGAAAAATTTCAGTTTCTTATTGAATTTAGTTTCCTAGGTTCAAACTTAATGTAGTTGTTTATAGGGTAAAAAAACACTACCATCTCTCCGGGTTTGCGTAAATGACACTCAATTCCATTATGATCATGAAAAAACATTTTCTCTTTTTGATTAAATGTTGACTAACAGTTGTTTAACGATTTTATTAAAAAAGAGATAAGTGCAACTCTATTTCACCTGCTTGGATTGTCTATCTGATTAAAAATTAAAATGTTATTTATTTTACTTAGAAAATTTAAATATTAAAAAATAAAAAATCTAAACTTTTGATAACATAATTTTACTATTTTTAAAATTTTTATTTTATGATATTTTAATTTTATTTAATTTTTTTTTAAGTTCAACTGATACTCAGCTATTCTTATTTTAATATTTAACACAAAAATAAAAATATTTAATAATTAAAAATGATAAAAATTAATTTATCAAAAGTTAGATTTTTTAAAAAATAAAAAAATAAATTAATCAAATAATATTTTAGTTTTTAATCAAACTGGCAGCTAAAATATGCAAAATTGAGTTACTTTCACATCTTTTTTAGCAAAACTATTAAACAACCATTAATCAACAATTAGTTAACCATTAATCAACAAAGTATTTTTTCATGATAAGAATGGGACTGGGTATCATTTAAGCAAATCTAGAGGGAGAGGAGTGTTTTTTACCCTTTTTTATATTATAAAAGCTATTCTTGACTTTTGATGTGCTTCAAACTGATGAAAATGGATTAGCTGGAAACCAATTTTGCAGTCAGCTGTCAAGAAGAACTTGTCAGAAATCTTTATTTACTTAAAAATGATATACAAAAATCTTTATCTAGTTAAAAATGATATACTTTTAATTTTAAATTTGATAAAATGGAATATCAAAACAATAGCTTAAATTTATGCTGCACACTTATGATAGGGAAAAACAAAAAAAGGTATCTTCACTGAAGCAATTGACTTGTAGAATCTCTATTAGGTACTTCAAAGTGCCATGTCGGACCACCATTTTTGGTTGTTTTGCAAACTAATGTTCCTGAGAAAAATTATTTTCTTTCATGATTTTGTTTTATCTAGAAATAACTTGGCAAATCTGCATAAAAAAATGCATCCATGATCACCAGTGGGATCCTTTCGAACTCCACTAGTATGTTCATGTAATTTCCCTTAATGTATATAATTGAAAGCAAAATATGTTCATTTCTCTTGCTAATTTAGTTTTTATGATTCCACCCATTTAGCTACATGCTTGCAGTGGCAATATGGCCTAATGCTGATTGCTTTATTGATAATGATAAGGCACCAGTGTGATAATTTGTCTGTTATTCAGGTGGAACATTTGCCCTCTATTCACTGCTTTGTCGGCATGCAAAAGTTAAAACAATCCCTAACCAACACCGGACAGATGAGGAACTTACGACATATAGTCGGAGCACTTTCCATGAGCACTCATATGCAGCAAAAACCAAGAGATGGTTGGAGAAATATGCATCCAGAAAAAATGCTCTTCTTATACTTGTCCTTGTTGGCACTTGCATGGTGATTGGTGATGGAATTCTCACTCCAGCTATATCAGGTATAGCTACATTCGTATGCCCTTTTTTTGTTTAAACTTTCAGATACCTTCCTTTATTTTCTTGTTGTTTATTTTTTTCCTTTTGTATTTGGTGAGAGTTATATTCTCCTTGCATTAACCATTTGAGCCATTTAGCCACTTGTGGAAAAACACTTCCATGCCAACTTATACACATAAGTGTCTGCGATGCCAACCAAAGAGTGTTGGCATTTTATTCATTGGAATATCATTGCTAACCAAGAACCTCTCCATTAGCTTGAGGGGTTAGGTGTTAGCTTTATAAGGATATAAATTTCGCTACCCTTCCACCAAATTAAGGATCATGCATCATCTTCTTTGGTAAACTAGTGTTTGTTGTGAGGGATTTTAAAACCCAGGGATGTTTGGTATGAGGGATTTTTTTTGGTTTCTAGGCCTTTTTTGTGTGTGTTTGTGTGTGTTAATGTTTGGTATCAAGGTTTTAGAAAGGCCAAAAAGCCTCAATAAGGGGTGCCAATATATCATCACAGCCAACTTGGGATTCAAAGCAGGGTTTCTAGGATACCAAAATTTACTTGAACAATTCTTTCAACTGACTTCTTTTAGATATTATGCAGTAGCCTTGTTGTGAGATCAAGTCCCTCTTCTCTCTCACAAAGAAAGCCTCAGGTTTAGGACAACCTGATTCAGGTGGTGCCTCAACATCTTTAGCACTCCCAGGGGCATGAACAATTAGCTAAAACTTTTTGATAGGGCCTATTCAAGTGCTATGTTTTTCTCCCTTCATCCCCTTTATCAAGTACCAAGGGGGCTTCGCCAAGCATTACTACCAATCTTTTCCTGTAAATTTTGAAAGTAATTATAGGTTTCAAGGGGGCATAATGGTAAATAAAGGTTTATAACAAAGACATCAGTAATTGTAACTAGAATGGGAGGGTAGAATAATATTGATAAAACTTATATTAGGAAAAAAACATTATTAGTGTAGTGCTCATGTGCCACAAACTGGATAGGACAAACGTATTTAGAAACAACTTGGGTAAATATGGATGAATCACTATATGGAGTATCATATATACTAGTAAAGATCATTTATATTTAAGAGGACATGGTGGACATGTATCTGGAGATTGGTATGAAGCTGGGAAGCAACTCTAGATCTTTTGCAACTTTTGGAACTTAAGGAACCTGATTGACCGGACTTGTGGAGATTTATCCAGAGAATCACTAGCACTAAGAGCAAACAACTCAGATTCTTTCTCAGGTTTTAGGGGTTTTAGCCTAATCTGCCTACCACTGTGTTGAAAGATATAGTAATTTGATATCTGTACATATCTTCAAGCCTTAAACAACCGAGGAAGGTAAGCATTATTTTCATAGGTAAGACATCACACCAAATATGACCCAAGTAAGAACCAATTGAATAGGAATGAAACATAGTTGATTACTATCAAACATTTTATTGTCTTTTGAAGCAATTATAAGATCTAGGATGAAGTTCAGGGTTCCAGTCCAATCAATGAACTGTATATCTAGAGTTGATGTTTATGCAACATCTAGCATCAACAATGACCTTGCAACTTTTATTAGTGCACTTCAACAATTTGACATGGTATTAGAGGAGGCAAGCTTCATTATTTGAACCTCAGCACCTACCCATATGAGCAGGCATGTTAAGAAATAAAATTATCTCTCTTTACAAGATTATGCTTTTAGATTAAAGTTCCTCCTCTCTTTACAAGCTTGAAATTTAGAGAGCTGATGATCAACAATTTAATGAGGTGTCAAAGTAGGAAAATAGAGAGAATGAGAAGATATGGGTTGTTTTAAGTCTTTGTAGAGCCTAACAATCAACATATGCAAAAAGCTGCACTTAGACCTTGATCATGCTGCTAAGATGCCAATGTCAAGAGTGCTAATGCAGTAACATGTGAATATGATCATATTGGCAACAAAGTGCGCAATAAGGGTTCTATAAAACCTTGTGGTGCTCCATCACCTATAGATCAAGGTCTATGGAGCTTTGTACATTCATACATAACTGCATGGGCTTCTAGTGGAGAAATTATTTTCTCCTTAACATGGTATCAGAGCTAGGTTGTGTTTCCTAGCTCTCACTCAACCACACGGCTGCCACATTAGTTGTGTTTCCTCCTCCAGCGATCTGCTCCGATCATTTCCTTCTCTGGCATTCTACTCCAGTCGATTGCCTTCTACCAATCTTGCTAGAGTTTCTATTATTTTCATTGAAGCAGATCATTTTGCTATTAATAGAAGATCCACTTTTGGGTGTTGTATATTCATTTGGATAATTTGATATCCTGGAAGAGTAAGAAACAAAATGTAGTTGTAAGATCAAGTGCCAAAGTAGAATATTGCGTCATGACATTAGCATCTTGTGAAGTCATCTAGTTGAAATATCTTCTTAAAGAAGTTCAATTTGGGGAGGTTATGCAAATGATACTTGTTTGTGATAATCAAGTGGCATTACATATTCTTTTCAACCCGGTATTTCACGAGAGGACAAAACACATTGAGATAAATTGTCACTTTATTAGGAAAAGATTCAATTAAGAGACATTACTACTCAATTTGTTAATTTAAATAATCAACTACCAGATGTTCTCACTAAATCCTTAAGAAGTTTTAGAATAGGTTATTTATGTAATAAGCTCGATGTATATGATCCAGATTAAAGGAAAGTGTTAATTATAGAAAGCTAAAATTGAGTTTCTAATTTGGATAGGCTAATTAGGTTAATTAGAGGTTCTTTCTTTTATGAATTTTTTTCCTTATTAGTATAGGAGCTTTGTATATATATGTGTGTGTGTGTATGTATTCTGTATTATTGAGACATAGAAAGAAATTATTTTCTTCCTAACATTACCAATGCCATTGTTCGATATTCTACTTCTGCATTTGACTTGGCAATGACATTTTGCTTTTTACTTTTTCAAGACATGAAGTTGCCTCTAATCATTACGCAGTAACTTGAGGTTGATTGCCTATCTGAGGGTGATTTAGCTCAATCTGCATCCGAATATCCATACTACAACAAAAATCTCAGAAATGATGCCTTAAGAATCTTAATTTAAGAGGCAACTGTACCTTGTGAATGACCTCTATCTTCATAGAGAAGTTGTTGGCCTAGTACCTTTTTGATATACTTGACTATTCGAATTGCAGCATCCTAGTGACTATCACATGGAGATTGTAGGAATTGGCTAACAACACTTACAACTAAGGAAATGTCTAGCTGAGTGATGATAAGGTAGTTTAGTTTTCCAATAAGTCTTTGATGCTGTCCAAGATCCAATAAAGGCTCTCCCTAGCTTGGTAAAAGTTTCATGTTTGGATCCATGGAGGTGTCTACAGGTTGACAGTCTGATAAGCCAGTTTTCTCTAAGATATCAGGAGCATATTTTCTTTGAGAAATAACAATACTACTTAAGTATTGAGTCACCTTAATACTAAGAAAATATTTAAGTTAGCCCAAATCTTTGGTTTGAAAATGACAAAAGAGGATATGTTTTAGTTGATTGATTCCTTCTGCATCATCGCTTGTGATGACAATATTGTCTACATACACCACTAGATAAATGCTCTTTTTATGTGGAGAATGGTGATAAAAAACAGAATGGTCTGCCTCACTGCGAACCTTGCCAAATTGCTGAATGATTGTGTTGAATCGCCCAAATTATGCCCATAGGGACTGTTTTAAACCATAAAGTGATCGATGAAGGTGACACACCAATCCAAACTTCCCTCAGCAACAAATCTAGGAGGTTGTTCTATATATACTTTTTTGCAAGCTCACCATGCAAAAAAAAAAAAGTTTTAATTTCAAGTTGAAAGAGAGGCCAATGACGCCTAGTAGCCCTGGAGAAGAGAAGATGAACGGAAGAAATCTTGGCAATAGGAGTGTATCGCCATAATCCAAGCTATAATTTGAGTGTATCCTTTGGTCACTAGACAAGCCTTCAAACCATCAACCTTCCTGTTAGGACCAACCTTCACAGCATATATCCATCTACACCCAGTGATGGACTTGCTAGAGGAAGGAGAACGAACTCCCAAGTGCTACTAGAGTGTAAAGCTGTCATTTCATCTATCATAACTTGTCTCCATCTAGGATGGGATAAAACTTTATCTATACTTTTAGAAATGGGCACAAAGGATAAAGAGGTGACAAAAACAAAATATGAAGAAAATAGACGATCATTAACTCAAAAAATTATAAATAAGATAAGGATTTCGGGAAGAATGGATAACTTTACGGATGGCAGTGGGAGGGCTTTCAAGAGGTAGGACTTGGAGTGGTAAAGGCGTTGGATTTGAGTTAGAGTTCATAGGAGCAATAGATGAAATGTTAGGATGTGAGTGATGCTGATAAGTTTGGAGACATTGAGGAATAGTAGCTGCAGTAAGGGGTCTAAGTAAAGAAATTGGGAGAACATTAGATACAGAGGAATGTTTAGCAAGGGAAGAGGAGAAAAAGAATGACTCCTTAAAGAAAGTGACATCTGCAGAGGTGATGTAATGGTTATTGGCTGGATGATAGAATCGGTAGCCTTTCTGAAGACAATAGTAGACAAGGAAGACACATTTGAGAGATTTAGCTTGGAGTTTGTCCTATCCAAGGGTTAGATTATGAACAAAGCATACACAATCAAAAACATAAGGAGAAAGAAATATAAGGAGTAGATGTAAACAACAAAGACACTGGAGTTTGATTGTGTGGAATAGAGGAAGACATATGATTAATCAAATAACACGCATTATGAATGGCATCACCTCAAATTTGTAAAGAGACATGATGATGAAAGAGTAAAGTGCAGGTTTCTCAATTAAATGACGATTCTTACATTCAGTGACACCATTTTGTTGAGGTGTGTGTACACAAGAAGATTAGTGAATGGTACCACGTGAAGACATACAAGTAGTGAACATATAAGTAGTGAAGGAAGAAGAGAAATATTTATGAGCATTATCACTACATAAAGTGCGAATAGATGTGTAAAATTGAGTACGGATCTCAGCACAAAGGATTGAAAAACTGAAAATATCTTAGCATGATTTTTTATTCAAAACAACCAAGTGCACCTGGAAAAATCATCAATGAATGTTACAAAATATGGATAGCCAAAGTCGTAGGTATATGACTAAGACCCCAACCATCTGTATGTACTAAATCAAAGGGGGATGCAACTCGATTATTGAATCACTTGGAAAACGAATTACGGACACGTTTTCCAAGTTGACACGACTCACATTCTAAAGATGACAGTGATGACAACTAGGAACCATTTTCTAGAACTTGGAGATGCTAGGATGACCTAAACAATATGGAGAAGAGAAGATAAAGTAGCAAATGTAAAGGTAGCATGAGATGAAGAAGGCATGGTAAGGTTATAACCCTGAGACTCACACCATTCTTCAATCATCTGTCCTATATTTTGGTCATGTAGAAGAAGAGAATGATGAGTGAAAATAACAAAACAATTGGAGGAATAGTTAATTTACTAATAGAAATGAGATTAAAGGGATAACCAGGAACATAAGTACAAAATCAAGAGTTAAGGAGGGAAAGAGACGAATTTGACCATGACCTTTAGCAATTGTTGTAAAGCCATTGGTAAGGTAATTATAGGAAGGGAACTTGGATTAGAAAGATT